GAGTGCTCCTTCTGAAGAAATAATGAAAAAGCTCAGAAAATTTTCTTGTTTACTTTTACCACATTTAGAGATAAATATGACACTGTGTGACCTAAGATTTAGACCACTCTTGGCCCTCGATAAAAGTTTGTGAATTTCATAAATGGACACAGGATGAAATCTCTGTTTTCTTAAACATCATTCATCTTTACCTATAAGCAATTAAAAAACAGAATTAAATGAGAGAGGGAGAGAATAAAAAAGATACTGGTTGTAGTTCTGTAAGAATGGAGGGTTGTGATTTTATTTGACCATTTTTTATATTTAAAAAGAAGTCTTCCTTTATCAGAACAGATGACAGTTTTCCCTAGGGAATCTGCAAGAGTTGGTAGCAGATGATGCCCTTTTCTCAGGCTTCACTAACTTAAAGAATCCATGTTCCTTATTGTCCCCATGAAGAGTTACTCAAGTTTTGTTTTGTTATTTAACAAAATGCCTTCATCGCAGAAATGTAACATTCCAAAAAAGGAGATAAATCAAAGAACCAATATGGGGCTGTGAATTATTATTATTCATAGTGTTGTGTAATCTGGATCCAAGCTACGAAGGGCATGCATAACATGAACTTTATTGAAATGCGTTCCAAGAGCACAATGACCATGTCTCTTGGTAGTGAATTGAACAAAGTTATCTCCCAAATGAATTTAACAGTTTTTATGGTTTCGTATCTTTAGAACCCCCGAACTGTGTCATTCCCAAATAATAATGAACAGATATTGCCAAATTACTAGTGACTAAAAACAACATTGGCATTAAATACTGACTAATGTGCAAGGCATTGTGGAGCCACAACAATGTACAATTCATGGTCCATGCTCTTAAGGAACTTAAAATTTAAGTAGTAAAAGAAAACATTTAGCACCAAAATATATCTAACAATATGAGAGAGCAAGTAGTAGATGTCAAAGAATGTTGCCAACAATAACACCAGAAATTCAGAGGACCTGCCAGGGAGCAGCAGAGAAAGGTGGATTGGATCTGGTTTTTGGAAAATGGGGGGAAACCCTGGATAGTCAGAGAAAGAAAGTCAGGGCAAGTTTTTGTAGGAAAACTCGTGTAAGAAGAGGCATAAAAGGAAGGAAAGCCAAGAAATGAATTTGTTAGAGTGAACTGACCCATTTGTCATAAAGGAAGATGAGTTGGAATGGCTAGGCTGTGGCCATCATGTTGAGTGGCTGAAGTGCCACATGCAGACCTCACACATGTTTATGCATGTGGCTGCTGGAGGCTCTGATATAATACTAGTGGAAAACCAAGCCACAGTGAAAAAACTTCAGAATCAGTGTTAAGTCTCCATACTGATGAACAGAAAGAGATTCCATTAAATTGATGAACATGACAAGGACAATCACATTGCTCAAACTATAGAACAGTGTGATACCTCATGAAAGATTCTACTGATAACAGGGAAGGTAAACAAGAGTGTCTAGAGACCATCAACAGACAGGACTTTTTCTGGGAAAATAGCCATTTGGGGTTTTGATTTGGGTTAGCTAGCCTTTCCTCTTTTTTGAAATCTGGGACTTTTTTCCTCCAACGATCTTAATTTTTCTTTTCTTTTGTATGTAAGGGCTGCAGTGTAGGTATGGGTGCCCGATATTCCATTTTTTTCCCTCTGGAGTCATCTGGAACTGATTAAATCTCTCTAGAGGCAGCAGTGTGGGTGGACTTTGAATCGGGAAGCCAACAATAGTGATGGTGTTTATAGGTTACTTGGCCTTTACTTCACTCAGGACTTGTTATTTCAACAGAATTGATTTGTGATCATCATTAAAAAAGCATTTGTAAATATTTTACTGAAATTTCTGTACCGCTCAACATTGTACATATTAATTTCCAAAGGCACCACATATCTGTGTTGACAGGATGACTGATTCACTGATATCCATGGCTTCTTATTCCTTGCCCCTGAATACTTCCTGTGGCTTCTACTTAGGTAGTAGTGGGTGATGAGTTTATGTTTTATTGCATGTTCCCTTTATAAAGTGGAAGAGACCAAAGAAGGGAAGAGGGCTGATAAAAAAAAGTTATTTTGCCAAGTAAGGGTGTGTGTGTGACAGAATGGTGCCTGAACCAGCACACTCTGTCCTTTCTCCATGTGTCAGATCCCATGTGTCTATAAGAAAGGCAATGTGTATGGAGTGAGACAAGTCACACTGGTTTATGTGTGTGTTTCTGCAAGATTGGAGAGGCCCATCATGTGCTCATTTGGAGTCCTTTCAGACTCGGCAAAAATAAGCAAAAAATTGTAGCTTTCATAGAACTCAACCTTTCAATGCAAGTAGTTACTTCTTGGGATCTTTTGAAGAAGCCATAATCTACTCCAATTCTGGAAACATGAGTCAGTATGTGCTTTCTTTCCTTTTATCCAGGTTTGAATACAAGAATAATTTGGCTCTAGATCATAAACCACCCTCAGGTAGTGGTTTAGGAAATCCAACTATAACACTGATTTAATTCCTTCAGATATGGACTCCAGCCATAGTACAACACCTCAGCCTTCTGCAGATTCAAACACACATTTGGTAGAAGACTGGGACAGGACAGCACCTCTTCCGGTGACAACTCGTAAGGATAACGACACTCAGCCCTTTGTTGACTTGTGTTCCTGCTTCAGTTCTTGCTCACACTGGCCCAGATCCAGAGCTTGGTGGTGGAATGGTGTATTTAGTGCTTTGTGGCTCAGTCTTTTTTTCTTCTATATTTTCTTGGTGGAGGTCTTTAAATGTGATTTTTCCCTTATTCTTGGTACTTTCCAAAGTCAATGACTTTATGTTTAAAAAAAAAAGTGCGACTCCATTCAACTTGATTTTCCTTCCCTAAGTAGTTATGGTAGTGTCATCCAAGACCACGGCTAGAACAGTGATTTTTCTGTTTTAACTGACCAGCTCCTTTATATATATATATTAAAAGTACAACATATATATATATATGTTTTTTAAATTGATTTCAGAGCAAGGGAAAGGGAGAGTGAGTTAAAAACACCCTACTGGGGATCAAGCCTGCAATGCCAGCATATGCCATGACCGGGAATTGAAGGGTGACACTCAGCCACTGAGCCACACTGGCTGGGCACTGACCACCTTCTTTTGATTCCCATCTTTTCTTCAATCAAAGCAGAAGAGGGATAGGATTGTTTTAATGGTGGTAAAAAGACAAGTTTGGGACATACAGTCATAGAAAATAGGGAAATCACATCATCCTATAGAAGAGGGGCAAGGTGTGTTATTGACAATTGACAAACGTGGCAGGGCCCAGATACAAAATGAGAACATTTGCTAATGCTTCTTCCTATCACTAAACATCTGGTAGAAGCAATGCTAAATTTCTAACAGCTTTAATTTTCATGATATGTACAGGGCTATCCTAGATATCAGCCTAAAGCCATTCATAATTTCTTGACAGACTATGAAAGAGTTCCAGAATTAAGAGGCCTTATTTCACTGCTTGCTGCACATAATGGACAGAGTTCTTTATGTGTTCCCTTTAGACAAAGGAAAAAGTCAGCAAGCATGTGTTGACTGTCAAAAATGTAACTAGCACAATATGCATAACCCATGGGCGCAGGCAATAGTGCGGTCACTGGGGGAAAAGGGGGACATCTGTAATACTTTCCACAATAAAGATAAATAAAATAAAATACTGTAACCAGCACAGTGTTAAGCATTAAATAGGATGCAGATAAGCCAAAGAATGGTCCCGCCAATCGAGGGTCTTGTAGTTCCACTTTATGTCCCTGTTGACTTTCGTTCTGATGTTTGCTTTGGGATTTGGTGAATGTTTCTCTTCTGGTTGTAATGTTTACTTGGTGGTAGACATGGCTTATGGGTGTGCTTTCTGGGGTGCTTGCACCTGTAACTCAGAGGTCAGTACTTTTCTTAGAAGAACACAAAAGAAATTAACTCAAAACAATCAAAGCGATTTCACATATGGGCAGTGGTTCAATCTCAGATTGCATGGACTACAGTGAGGGCCCTGTGTTTGCCCAGGCAAGCGTTTCCTGGCGTTTCAGCACGGTGATGAGAATCCTCATCCACAGATGAGATCAAAAACCTAATAATGGAGTAAAATGGGAACTTTAATTTAATGTTCTTTAGGAGGGACTAATGTATTTCCTTTTATACATTGGATCTGAGTTACTGGAGCAAGTTATACTAGATGAACTTCTTCCTCTTTTCTGGTTACGATCATGCCACTTCTTCACACACAACTGGATGCTCTTGATTGCTGATGGGAACACTGGGATTCAAACATTACTCTTCCTCTGTGTCTGTATACTCTTGGTTTCCTTGGTGACTTGAAGCAATGTTACCATTGGGTCAGGATGATCTGGGGTAGACATAGTTTTGGCTCAGGCTTCATGTTTGACACATTATCTTTGTTGATTATATGGAAAAGCAAACAAAGGCTCTTAACAGCCAACTAGTAAAACAGAATTCTGTTGTATGTTCTTATCAATCAGATGAAAATGTTATGCACAAACCTTGGTATTCTTACGCTCTCGCCTGTTTAACACTATATATAGCTAGATCCTCTCTGTCAGCAAAATAACAGGATTTGTTTTATGGCTTCAAATTAATGCTGGATTCATCCCTCATTGAAACAGAGCAGAGTCACACTCAGAGCTTCTCTACATCACATGGAGGCTTGGAAGAAGATAAAGGCCAGCCAATGATGTCCACTCCAACATCTAGCAGTAAGGATGGCTTCAGTTATGGGTGTCTTTGCACAGTGTCTTTGGTGGAGGTGCATTCATTGGCTGTTGTGCTGTTACTTCTGATTAGAAGGTGTGCTGGTGATGGGCCTCTGATTTTTCTGCTTGGAAGACTTTTTAGAAGCCATTGTACATGAAATGCAACTATATGTCTTAATCTTAAAGGTCGGGTTTCTTAAATTCTAGATTTAGATTGCTTATTTGTGATTTATAATTGGTATAAAGATCTGAATTATATTACTTTCTATTTCCCTCGCATTAATTATAATATTTTGCCATTTATACTCTGGACCATGGATTTGGTGATTAAGAAGCAGTGCCTTCTGGAAAAGGAAAAAGTAAAGCCTCAGGCCTGGGAATCCTTGCATTGGCTATTCCAATCACAGACAGCATATTTACCTTTTAATTCAAAGATATGCTTCCTCCACTTCATTATAGGTGGGTCCAACTGAGTAAGAGCTCAAGATTATCTAGAACCTGAGTTGCCTTCAAGGTAACAATTGTGGTGGCTTAATCCTCACTTTAACAACCCAGGTAGATGTTACAATGAATGTCTTTTCTAGGTATTAGGATCACCAAAATCTCTTCCGTTGAATGATGTCCAGGTGTTCTCAATTGCAAAATATAGATTCTGTGCAATAGTGTAGATCACACTATCTTTTGCTCTGTGTTCACAAATAACAAGTGGGAAGCTTTTGCAGTAATTGCATGTTTTAAGGACAAGCACACGATGGGTGGTGGCCTTACAGATGTCGGTTCACCATAGACTCCACCTCTACACAGATAGGCATGATGGCGGAGGTGGAAATCTTCCTGAAGACTCAGCTACTTCAGTGGGAGGTTATACTCCTCATTCCCCAGACACAAAGGAGTACACAACCCTCATCCCAGTGACCCCTGCTAACACTGAGTCCCTTGGAGTTACTGAAGTTACTGTTGATGGAGTTTCCAACGTTAATGTTGATGGTTCCTTGCCAGGTAATGTAGAAAACAACACATACTTTCATGTTATAGGGGATGTTTTCTGTGTAGGCTGTGATTAGGCTTATTTGTGACTTGGGAAGGGTTTTTAATTATGTCATCATTCTAGTGCAAGTAAACTTAGACTTAGTTGAGATTAAGAATGCTTTCATTTGCTGATGTCATTCCTATTTATTCTTGTGACTTGGTTGTTATGGCAGAATTTCTTTCTTTGCCTTGTTTCTGGTCTTGTGATATATTAAGTTGATCCATGTGAAATTGATAGTTTTGTAGGTCAAAGAAGTTAAATATTAGCTATTTTATTTGATTCAACTAATAATATGCTGCCTATTTAGTAAGGTTTTACCCAACATGTGAATAATTTCCATATACTAATACCTTGGCTCTGAAAGTATTACCTCCTATTGGTGATGGATTGGTGAATTTTACTTTTAGTGAAGGGCTTGTGGATAAATCTCTAATTACGATGCACACTTAAAATTTTATGATAAAACCAACTATTAATGAATAGGCATCTCTCTCTTGTTGTAGTGGCAAATAGATGGCTGAAGATGACATTCAATTAAGTTGGACATGGACCCAGAATGAGATTTGTTTTCTCAAACAGTCCTCCTTCTGCTTTTTTGTTTGCTTCTCCATTTGCATTAAAAAACTGACATTGTAGAAAAAGGAACTGGAAAATACCTACTCTGGCTAAGAAACTAAAATCCTCTCCTGGCTATTCAAGTACTTCTTAGCACTAAGGCCTATTAAAGATTAGTGATTTTAAACATGCAGTAGTCCCCCCTTGATCCAAGGTTTTGCTCTCCGTGGCTTCAGTTACCCATGGTCAACTGTGGTCTGAAAATATCAAGTGGACAATTCCAGAAATAATTCCTACACTTTACATTGTGTGCTATTCATAATAGTTTGATGAAATCTCATGCTGTCCTGCTGTCTCTACCTGTGAATCGTTGCTTTGTCCCGTGTATCCACACTATATATGCTACCCACCCTTTAGCCACTTAATAGCCATCTCCGTAATCAGGTAGACTGTCATATCATTGCAGTGCTTGTGTTCAAGTCACCCTTATTTTACTCCCTAACGCCAGTTCACATAACTTTTATTATAGTATATTGTTGTAATTGGTCTATTTCATTATTATTGTTGTAAAAATTCTTAGTGTGCCTAATTTATAAGTTCAACTTTATCATAGGTTTGTATGTATAGGAAAAAATGGCATATATAGGGTTCAGTACTAGCCACACTTTTCAGGCATCCACTGGGGGTCTTAAAACATATTCCCAGTAGATAAGGAGGAATGACTGTAATTTTTTTTTTTGTAGCATAAGTTCTTTCCCTCTCCTCCCCAAAGAAGAATAAATCTTATGAGAACTCAATATATAAAACAGATGACTGCTGTGGTGACAGAAAACCAGAATGTCACTTATGTGGCCTTTTTCCTTGGCTGCCCATCCCAGAGATAAGGAGGGACTAGTGATAAAGTTTAATTTATAAAAATTAGGCACAGTATGAAATGAACAATAATTAATAATGAAATGGAATTACAACAATATGTAATAATGAAAGTTATGTGAATGTGGCATCTATAATAATAAAAGTGTAATATGCTAATTAGATTGGATGACCTTCTGGACGAAGCTGGGGCTGCAAGGGAAGCCCGGGTCCTGGGTGCCAGAGGGAAGCTGGTGCCAGCAGCCGGTGGAAGGAAGGCCTACTCTTACACAAATTTCGTGCATCGGGCCTCTAGTTAGTAAATAAAATAAGGATTACTTAAACACAAGGGTTACTTGAACACAAGCTTCAAGGAAAATAGTCTTAGAAAAAACCTTGGCAATATTGGCAAGACAGAACCCCTCACACCCTTTGGTTCTTTGTTCAACATGGTTCTACCCTCAATCATTAAAATTTCCAAGTATCATTTTCAGTATTTTTCTGTAGAAGTGAACCTTAGAGCATTGTCTAATTTTTCTTAGCAAAATGAGGTTCGTCATGCAACATAATGAATTTAAATTTTAAGTGGCAATTTAAATAGTTACAGTAGCCTAGAAAGATTACATAGATAATTGTTAGTAAATAAAATGCTTTCTACAAAATTGATATCCATGTACTCTCATTTCTTCTATATTCCATGGTGGTGCCAACAGATTTCCATGGTTCTCCATGGATTAAATGATTAATAAGGGATCCAACTCTCATTTTTTGTTTTCTTTCAAAATTCAAAAAGTGCTCATTTCTTCCAATTTTTTCAGTCTTTATGCTTAACCTCAGGGATTAAAACATTTGAACTTGTGGTGATGATGATGGTGTTGTTGTTGGGGGTGGTGGTGGTGGTGGTGGTGGTGATAATGTTGGTGGTGATGGTGGTGGTGGTACTGGTGGTGGTGGTGGTGGTGGTGGTGGTGATGGTGATGGTGGTGGTGGTAGTGATTTTGAGGGTGTTGGTCCTGGCCTTTCAGAAAATTCTGTTTTTCATTATTCTAACCATGAGCCAAGGAACAAAGCAATGTGTCTTCTCTATACAAGTACACAAGCTATTACAGGTCACCTACCTCCACCTTATGGGAAATGGTGGGGATCAGACTATGGCATTTTCCTTATAGGTACCTTCATAATGGGTAACTATAGCCATTTTATGAAATCATTGTCTTTTTATGTTTTGTTTTAAGATTCCAGTATAGTTTTGGAAAATGTGTGGGGAGGAGGAGGAGGAAGGAGAATAAGAGTTTCCATATGCTAAATCCAAGATCTGACCTGGGGATCCAGAGTTTAGCAATTCAAAAGCCTTTTGGTGATGGATATTTGAGAAGATGAATTATATTAACTCTTGGTGTTGAAAATGCAGATTTCATTTTTGAAAAATATTACAATTTGAAACATTCTAATAACCATGAATACATTAGTCACACATTAGCTGTCATCTCCCCCTTTCCTTTTCACTTATTTTCAGACATTTTCTTTAAATAAGCAGTTGACTTCTTTCTTTGAATTTAACCCCAAGATCTTGTATGCATACTAAAGTCATTTTCTATTTCCTGCCTCGGAGAATACTCTTTAAATGTCTTCATGACCTAAGCCACAGAGTACATGCATTCCCAGTGATCACATTTGTCATCATTCAAAACATAGAGTCCCTATTTCAAAGAAATAGTATCAAATCCCAACCTCAGACCTGTGAACACATCATGATAATTTTGTTCACGTGTTACAGTTATTGGGTTTCTACCAAAGCCACACTTCCTCTGGTCATCCTGATGGTCTGTGCTGGACCAGATTTCCTAATTTTGATGAAATCTCTAGCCCACTGATCAGTGGATTAAGAAATAGAAATTAATATTGTGGAGCCATTCATGGCTCCTTTGCTTACCTTTAAAAGACTAAGCTTTGTGATAAAAGCCAAGGGCATGAAAAGGCAGACATGCGGAAACGCAGATGGCAGTGTAACCAGAACACTCCGTACTGAACCTTCTCTGCTTGTTCC